ATCGCCGTGGAGAGGTCCCAGAAACCGCGTTCAGACAATTGGCCATATTAATGGGCTGCTTATATTGCGGCCCCTGGCAAAAGCCAGGGTGGGGCTTCAAATAACAAAAAATTTCGTCCTAAAAAGGACGAAACGACAATATTTATGAGGCAACAGACGGCCCCTGAACTGCCGACACATACAGACATTATTTATTTCTATTTGTAACCATGTTAAACTATTTACTGTATGTATAAAAATGTAAACACATGTAATCTAATGTAAAACAACAACCCCCCCCCCCCCCCCCCAACCCCTTTTCCCCTCCCACAACCACCTATACAAAAAAAGCGTCATGTCACGTTTCACAAGGGCTACGTAAACCCAAACTAATAAAACACTCGTAATCACTATTATCAGTACCAACACTAAACTCACAGGGAAACAACCGCACAAAAATAGAAACACACAACAGACGCGCACTCTTCAACTCTCAGGCCGAATCACCAAAACCTAGAGGCTATTATTAGCGGAAAGAGAACCAGCAAAAGAGATAATCCACAAACCCTCGTTCCTCTTCCCCTCCCTACACCCCCACAAACAAACAAAGATGAACAGATGACACACATCAAAGCACAAAGACATAGATAGCCGAAACCAGATACGGCAAAGTAGATGAAGTAAAATTTTGTATCAAAAATTACCTATAATCCAGTTTCGTCCTTTTTAGGACGAAATTTTTTGTTATTTGAAGCCCCACCCTGGCTTTTGCCAGGGGCCGCAATATAGGCAGGCCATAAATATGGCCAAATGTCTGAACGCGGTTTCTGGGACCTCTCCACGGCGATCCTCATCCACATTGTGACACTTTGTGTCATCGGGTGTTTATCGCTTGTGTGATGTCCTGGTGGGGTAGAAAGTCAGTCAGTTAGCAAAGACGTATTAATGTACATCTTTCTTAAGACGTAATTTTTTTTTACTTGAAGCCCCGCTCTTGCTTTTGCCAGGGGCCGCAATATAGGCAGGCCATCAATATGGCCAATTGTCTGAACGCGGTTTCTGGGACCTCTCCACGGTGAACCTCACCCACATGGTGGCACATTGTGCCATCGGGTGTTTATCGCTTGTGTGATGTCCTAGGGGGGGGGGGGGGGGGGGGTAGGGGTAGAAAGTCAGTCAGTCAAAGCTACATTTTTAAGTATGGAGTCTTCAGCTATATGAAGGACTAGAACATGTCGTTGTGTGAGATTCACAGACGTGATTATCATGCATTACACTTTGTTTGGGACTAAAAGAGCAACAGCTAATTTTTTTTTTTTTTAAAGTAACATAAAGCAATGCTAATTTCGCTTCCAAATAAAATAATTCGCTTCTAGTACAGGGATTAATCGCCGATTCTGAGTTGATTCAATTCAGGAACCCACAGGGGCATTGAAATAAAGGAAGACCATAAGGCACATCGAGAAGGGAGATAGTGAAGTTAAACAGATGGAGAGGACACGTTGAGAGCTGTATGTGATAGTGACAGATAGAACGACTTGACGTGAGTTTGTCGAGGGCTTATGCTCCACTGGGGGTCAGAAAGGCGGAAGTAGAAGAGTTAAGAACCAGTTTCACAGCATTCAGGACATAGCCATAAACGTCCAGTCTCTGTCTCCAACAGCCATTGTAGACCTTACATTCCACAGCACTCTCTGTCTTCAACAGCCATTGTAGACCTTACATTCCACAGCACTCTCTGTCTCCAACAACCATTGTAGACCTTACATTCCACAGCACTCTCTGTCTCCAAAAACCATTGTAGACCTTACATTCCACAGCACTCTCTGTCTCCAACAACCATTGTAGACCTTACATTCCACAGCACTTTCTGTCTCCAACAACCATTGTAGACCTTACATTCTAAAGCACTCTCTGTCTCCAACAACCTTTGTAGACCTTACATTCCACAGCACTCTCTGTCTTCAACAGCCATTGTAGACCTCGCATTCCACAGCACTCTCTCTTCAACAGCCATTGTAGACCTTACATTCCACAGCACTCTCTCTTCAACAGCCATTGTAGACCTTACATTCTACAGCACTCTCTGTCTTCAACAGCCATTGTAGACCTTACATTCTACAGCACTCTCTGTCTCAAACAGCCATTGTAGACCTTACATTCTACAGCACTCTCTGTCTTCAACAGCCATTGTAGACCTCACATTCTACAGCACTCTCTGTCTCCAACAGCCTTTGTAGACCTTACATTCTACAGCACTCTCTGTCTTCAACAGCCATTGTAGACCACACATTCCACAGCACTCTCTGTCTCCAACAACCATTGTAGACCTTACATTCTACAGCACTCTCTGTTTCCAACAACCATTGTAGACCTTACATTCTACAGCACTCTCTGTCTCCAACAACCATTGTAGACCTTACATTCTACAGCACTCTCTGTCTTCAACAGCCATTGTAGACCTTACATTTCACAGCACTGGCTGTCTCCAACAGACATTGTAGACCTCACATTCCAAGCAAGTAACCAAGACCGAACATCATTTGTATTGAACACTTCAAAGAACGATGTACCAGAAGAGATGACGTCATAACGAGAGATCCAGTGCAATAGCCTCCTAGTTGTTACATATGCTAGTTCGAGGAGAATGATTGTTGATAAGTCGCAGGTCCATTGTGGACGAGTATTTGTAACATTGTCAGCGAGTTAATATTATAATTAGTATTGGATGACATGCTTGCCGCAGTATGTGTGTCCGAGTTTGATTTATGCCGGCGTTCAGAAACTGGTCAGCATATGTGTTTATATGTGCACACATAAAGTCACCCACTGCATACACATACGCGCTCCAACACACACCTACACATCCACATGTTCCCAGATTTAAACACCCTGACACATCTCACGCACTTTCATACACACGGAAACATGCCCATACATACACGCACCCTCAGACCCTCAGACTCACACACACACACACACACACAAACACACACCCTCTCCTCACACATACACACACCCAGACATACACACGCACAACACATGCACATTACTACATACGCACACAGCATCCCCACATCATCCACACAAACCTATACTAAACAACATCAAAAAATCGTTTGTTCTCACAATTAAATAACGTATTGTCCCATGCCCTATGACCTCACACAGGTGCCAGCTTTAATCTACTCATCAATCTATCATCTCCCCGAGTTTAAACGATGACGAATTGTCCACATGTATTCTAAATAAAGAAGATCAGGGTGGGTGGTTGCTGGCGAATTTATCTCCCGATCTTGAGCCAAAAGTGTTGATGGACCGCATGCCTGTTCTGTTATGTAGTACATCTTGTGCAAAACCCGGATCGTCCGCAATTTCCGCAGACATCGCTTTGGTTTGTAGGCTGACAAGGGTAGTTACCTGAGATCGATGTTCCCTTTATGGCGGACCCACACTTTTTCTGGTCTCTATACAAAGCAGTAAGTTGTACCGATGATAGTTTAAACAGTTCTATAGAAGTAATTGTAACTGATTTAAAGGTTCTTACTGTAGGCTGACAAAGTTAGTTACCTGAGATCGATTTTCCCTGTATGGCGGACCCACAGTTTTTCTGGTCTCTATACAAAGCAGTAAGTTGTATCGATGATAATTCTAATAGTTGTATAGAAGTAATTCTAGCTGATTTACTGGTTCTTACTGTATGATTGATGATAGCTCTGGGGTGGCATTACAGTTAGTTCTAATTGTCGTATTAATGGTAGTTCTAAATTGTGAGAGCAATTTAATTTCTAATATTTATATACATAACAGTTTTGCCTTTAAAAGTTCTAAGGGGGCAGCGTGGTCACAAGGCATGGTGTCCGCCTCGAGTGCTAGAGGTTCCGGGTTCAATTCCTGATAAATGCTGAGATTTTTTCACATGAGCTTGGACATCTAGTAATTCTCACTTGCAGTGAGATGGGGCGTCCGTGTGCACTGCTGCGCACGCAAAAAAAAATCTCTTGGCAGTTGAAAAGCGAAAAGAGTAGACTAACAGCGCTGGCCGGGCAAAATTTAGAGTTAAAAATCTACCTAAAGTATTTCAGGATCCTCGCCGGTGCTACAGAGCTTGTGTACTGTGCTGAGCTTCTTCGTACTCAGACTTGAGTTAGAAGAAGAACGGAGCACTTATGGGTTACTACCCGTGTTCCATGATGTTGATCCGTTTACTACTATTATCTACCCTGTTTCGTCCTTTTTAGGACGAAATTTTTTGTTATTTGAAGCCCCACCCTGGCTTTTGCCAGGGGCCGCAATATAGGCAGGCCATAAATATGGCCAATTGTCTGAACGCGGTTTCTAGGACCTCTCCACGGCGATCCTCATCCGCATCGTAGCGCTTTGTGTCATCGGGTGTTTATCGCTTGTGTGATGTCCTGTTGGGGTAGAAAGTCAGTCAGTCAGTCGTTAATAGGTTGTCCAAACCTCAAGCTTCAAACTAATAGTTCTACCAGTTCTATCAGTGATAGCCCTGACTGTTGCATCCATTATTGTTCTTATAAGATATTGTACTGTATATATAATTCCTGTATGTATGATATTTCTAATTGTTGTATTATTGAGAGTTTTTTTTAAATGACAGTCCTATCTAGGATAATTTCACTAGGGCTATTCCAAAACCAACCTCCATATGGATAATTAAAGTAAAATAATTTGACAATGATATCAAAATCCATTAAAAAAAAAAATTGCAGACATCCCTGCGTTTTTTCTTTTCCACATAGTGACCCCCTAAATTCGGGCACTTGTACCACGGCACAACTTTTTGTATGCTCTAGTCACAGAGCGGTAGGAGCAACAAATGACGCCCCTAAAACGACCGCCAGTTAGAACGAATATGAAATCATACGCGGCCGAACGTTATTATATTTTGTTAATCTGCTTTATTACTGTGTTTTATTTATATATTTTAATATTATATGTATTGCTTACATGCTTTTTTATTTTATATGCTTTAATTTTTTTTTATTTTTTTTTTTTTTATGTCTTGTTTATCTGCTTCATTATTATATGTTTTCTTTATCTGGTTATATTAATATATGTTTTCCTTATATACGCTAATATTTTGTACGTTTCTGTTTCTGGTATATTTGTATAAATGTTTTTATCTGCGTTATTATAATGTTTTGCTTGCCTGTTATTGTATTTTGTGTTGGTTTGTCTGCTTCTATAGTATATATCTATGTCTGTCCTTTCACAATACATTTATTGGTTGTATTAGTTTTTTTTTTTTTTTTTTTCAGCGGCGGCCCTCGATTCCACAAGGTGGGTTCGACTGGTACGCCCACAAATCTCAAAGAAGGAAAACAGTATCCATCTCTCTCCTTCCTGTGAGCGATGACGACGAAGAGGAAATTGATGAGGTTGATGGTGATGATGACGATGACGATCAGAGTCACAATAAAACGTCTAGTTACGAACAGTCGTGTGCTTTTTATTCTTCAGAAAAGGCAATAGATCATCAGCAACGGGAAGACGCAAGGTCCTCAAGCAAGGAGGATGTACTAGACCCCCAGAGAATCCAGCTGAAATCGTGCCTTCGTTCATCGCGTTGTCCGGAAGAAGTCAGGTGCTCTTGTACATCTTCCAGTAGGCATAACCTCAACAACAATAACATTAAGCGCAATAATAACCACGACAAAGCCACCAGAGAAAATACAAACAGCGATAACGACAGAAGGAGCGATCAGAGAAGAAACCTTAGAAAGAAGAAGGATCCGTATGAAACGGTTATTATTAATGTCGGAGGGCAGATATTTGAAACGTATCGCACAACAATCAGAAAACTTCGAACGCCCATCTTCCACACCAAAGACAATCTACAGCTGTACTACAGAAAGTCCAGAGGGGACTACTTCTTTGACAGGGATCCCACGGCTTTTGGATCCATCCTGAACTTTCTGAGGACTGGGGAGTTGCACATACCCACAAACATGTGTGGCCCGGCCTTACAGGTAAGTAAAAAAAAATTGTTAAAGCTAGTTGAAGTAAAACTGTTGAGATCAAGCATCTTTCCTGAGTCAGGATGTGAGTCATAAACTCGTAATCGTAGAAGGGGAAACAGGAGTTTTCAAACTAAAATGATACACACAAATCTTTAGACAGACCGACATCTTGCCTGATCTAAAAATTGCAGAGAACTGGCTCATAAACAGTATCCTAACCTCAAATCTGAGGTGTTATGGCCACACGATTTGGTGGCATGGACATAGCGGTGATGGATGGTGCAGTCTCCAGTAAACTGGGAATACCCAGACCACCGTGAGCGTGTATGCAAGACATTGTTGAAGATGTAATGTCTATGATAGCGACAGTGCTAGAAAACTGACTAGAGACAAGGAGATTTGTCAGACCTGACGTGACACGAGCGACTTTCTCTAAAGAATATACTGACTGGTGATGCAAATACACAAAGAACCATTTCTACAGGCTTACATGTTACCAGATTGCAGTCATTGCATCTGGATGTCTAGCAGTGAGCAATGGCACGTAGTATGTTTGCAGCACTACTGCAATAGAAATTTCGTGGTGAGTACCGGCACCGTTTTAGACATATTCGTGTGAGTACTGGCCATCACCAGAATGGGAACTCTTCATCGTCTGCTGAGGATTAGGACAGAGCAGGTATAGGAATGTCCCGATGGTAGTGAGGTGACTTCTTCATTGATTTATTGAATGATTCATTAAATGATTTATGTGATGTTAATCTGCTCAACGAATGCTCTATGAAATCGGATGTGTCAGTCGAAATGTACAAATATCAAGCCATGCTGTAAACAGACGCAACACAATTGCGTCACTGTGATGAATGACATAAAAAGATCCATTGATTAATTCTGTAAATGACCAACCCCACTCCTTCCGTCAATCGTCACCTAAAAAAAAAAAAAAAAAATTACCCTTGTATATTGTCTAAGTGCTCCACCCTCGCGCAACCATGGGCAGATCATTTTCTTCTTTTTTTTTTTCTGCTTTTTTGATGCCTCGCGGCGTCAGGCAAGATAAGATCTCTCAAACGTGCCCATTCGTTCGCTTCGTATAAGTACTTTTCAGTGTCTCTGATATTTCTGTGGTTCATATTCTGCGTGGTCCACCTCTAGATCATATTCCGCTGTTTCTGTATAACAATGCTCTCTGTGTAGATGTTTCTTTAAAAGCATTTCTTGATGAATTTCATATTTGCATCAAATATAGTACACCACCTTCACTTGACATTTAGCTCATACTAATTGTTATTTATCATCATCATCATCATTATCACCCTTCTGTTCGCTTAATTTTTTTTTTTTTTGTAATCCTTATTATTATTACTACGCACAAGCTTAAAGCTGCTTGAGCTCCCTTCCTGTTGTTAGCAAATGTGCACGGCTGAAAGCCAAATTCGGAAACACCCTAAATATTTGTTGTTCTTTAGTGCCCCTAACTACCAGATACCCCCATTGAAAAAACTTTATCGCACTAATATTTTTATGAGATGTCGGCGATCCTAGCGACTTCCTTAAGTGATTGCAACGTGTGTGTCTGTGTTAAAAGTTAGCTGTGTATCCTTTACAGGACGTCGCAGAACCATTCCCAGGATTTTTTGGCTCTTGAGGTTTTTCTGAGCAAATTTACGTTCAGTAGTTTGCCATTGCTTCTGGACGTTCAGCTTCTCGATACAACTGTCGAAACCAATGCAAGGCGCAAGGCCCGCAGCTGGGATCTAACCCGGCACCCCAGGATTAAAAAGCGAGTTCACAACTGCTAATCTGTGGATGCCGACGTTTGTGTATTACCCTAATAAGTTCATTCTTTATTCTTTCTCAGCGGACACTTACAGCTAAAACATAAAGTCCGAGCGGCCATGACGTTTTCTTTCTCTCCGCACCCCTAACTATCCCTAAACTTCTATTGTAGGCAGGACACGGGACTGTTAATGTCTGCAGGGTCCTAGACAAGTTCAGTGTAGTACCTAATTGTTGTTTGTCTATGATACATTAGATAACTCTCATCCTTTATCATTCCTCCATGGGTATGTTGGTACCTGACCCCAGAACGAGCTGGACTTCTGGGGCATCGAAGAGGCGGACATCGCCCGCTGCTGCTGGACACAGTACAATACCTGGAAGACTCAATGTCGCTCCCTAGAGAAACTGGAGTACGACCGCAAGTTCTCCACCACTCAGCCGGTGAGACATGTATCTGTTTTATGTACAGCACTTCAGTATATACTTATTTCAGGATTTATGATAGTCATCTGCAGAGTTTAATTTTACGCCCCATCTCTATCATCTTTATGTTGTTAACTTCTTTACTACCAATTACATTTCGCTTCCCTCAAACTTCTGTCACCCGCCCTGTTTAGCCGAACATGTTCAAGTTCATTTAGCAGGTTCGTTCCTTACAGAACGTCGCTCTGATCACCGCATACCTGCAAGTCTTTCTTGAGCCAATTCCCCAGCTCCTTGTGCTTTCATAGCCGAGGCATCCTCAAAGTCTTGTATCCACGATGTTAGAGATCGGCCTAGTCTTTATTTTCCAGAGACTACATCTTTCACATCACCGTTTACTTTAGGACACCATGAAGTTTAACATGGCCAAAAAACCACAGCTTCCATGACTGGATGCTGTTTATGAGTCAGTTCTCCTCGATGTTAAGATCATATACTATGTCGATGCTTTTTTTTTTAAAGACTTTGAGATCATGACTTACATCTCACAGCCATAAGTTTTTGCTGTAAAGATGCATAATCTCAAATCTGTTTAACACGGACATATTGCATGTGTCTAAATACGGTCACCTACAATTGTATGTTACATATTATGTATGTAAATATAACACATTATGCGCACATATCACACAACTGGCTGACATTATGTCTACCCTTTATGACGGCGTTTCTGGCTTAAGCGTTGCGAACGCGCTTTGTAACGCCGGGGTAAGGGTTTGATCCCAGCTGCGGACGATTTGTTTTGCGTTGGTTTTGACAGTCTTGCCCAGAGCTAACCGTTAAGAAAGCAATGGCAAACTAATAATCGTAAAATGTGCCTCTAAAACCCACAACAGCCAAAAAAATGCCGGGGTTGGTTCTGCAACTAACTTATTATGTATAACACATTATATGTACATATGACATAGCTGGTTGACACACAAACAGTTGTCTATCTATGCTGTATGCTTTTAAGTCACTGACCTGTTCGTCACTGTGTCACAGATAAATCAGAATGAACTAGACACCTCCTGCTGGTCTCGGCACAGATCTAGAGTCTGGACCTTCTTGCAGGATCCAGAGTCGTCACGGAAAGCCAAGGTAAGGTGAGATTTGGACGGCTGAACTCTGACACAACATCGATGAATGTGGCTTAATAGTTGTGAACGCAGATTCATTATTTATTTAGTTTGACGTTAGTCTCCCCAGAGAAAGTAGGTCACGTTACATTCAGAACTTTTTTTTTTTTGGTTGGACTGGTCTACTTTAGTGAGAGTTACTGGTGTGCCGTTCTGTTGTTTGCTTTCTGTGTTGTCTTGCATTTACGTTTTGCTTTCTGTGTTGTCTTGCATTTACGTTTTGCTTTCTGTGTTGTCTTGCATTTACGTTTTGCTTTCTGTGTTGTCTTGCATTTACGTTTTGCTTTCTGTGTTGTCTTGCATTTACGTTTTGCTTTCTGTGTTGTCTTGCATTTACGTTTTGCTTTCTGTGTTGTCTTGCATTTACGTTTTGCTTTCTGTGTTGTCTTGCATTTACGTTTTGCTTTCTGTGTTGTCTTGCATTTACGGTTTGCTTTCTGTGTTGTCTTGCATTTACGTTTTGCTTTCGAGAAAGAGAATGTCTGTGATATGGGTTGCAGCACCCTCTAGGGTGTTGTTTGTTAGATCCAATTTCTCCATGATTTTGTAGTGTTAGAAAGACTAACCATGCTAAAATGATACCAGAAACACGCTGTATCATTTCTACAATAGTGTGAGCGTCAACTGTGCAATAAACAATGAATGTGTGGCTAGACCAACGAAGATATTTTGGGGTGTATGATTGAAATACAGAAAAGACACATTAGTGTTAACTAAAAAAAAAAAAGGAGAGCAGACAAATAAATACAACAGTTCATAAATACGTTGAATACAAAGACAAGCACAGCAACAGGTGACTGTAAAGAAAACATCACAAGCAGGGAGACTAAGATGTAAACAGCATGTTGATTTTTTTTTTTAGCACACACACGATAGAGTGAGGAAAACAAAAAAGGTAAACAAAATTTAGTAACATGTAAAAAGCCAACCCCGGGTTTTTTTTTTTTATCGTGGCCAAAATAAGTACAGTCTAGAATAGAGGCAGAGGTTATCTATCTTTATATCTATTTATCTATCTATCTATTTATCTATCTATCTATCTATCTATCTATCTATCTATCTATCTATCTATCTATCTATCTATCTATCTATCTATCTATCTATCTATCTATCTATCTATCTATCTATCTATCTATCTATCTATCTATCTATCTATCTATCTATCTATCTATCTATCTATCTAAGCTATCTATCTATCTATCTATCTATCTATCTATCTATCTATCTATCTATCTATCTATCTATCTATCTATCTATCTAATCTACCTAATCTATCTGTATATCTATTCATCCATCCATCCATCCATACACCTATCTATCTATCTATCTATCTATCTATCTATCTATCTATCTATCTATCTATCTATCTATCTATCTATCTATCTATCTATCTATCTATCTATCTATCTATCTATCTATCTATCTATCTATCTATCTATCTATCTATCTATCTATCTATCTATCTATCTATCTAACTTATCTTTTTATCCGTCTGTCTGTATGTCTACCCATCCATCCATCCATCCATACACATATCTATCTATCTATCTATCTATCTATCTATCTATCTATCTATCTATCTATCTATCTATCTATCTATCTATCTATCTATCTATCTATCTATCTATCTATCTATCTATCTATCTATCTATCTATCTATCTATCTATCTATCTATCTATCTATCTATCTATCTATCTATCTATCTATCTATCTATCTATCTATCCATCTATCTATCTATCTATCTATCTATCTATCTATCTATCTATCTATCTATCTATCTATCTATCTATCTATCTATCTATCTATCTATCTATCTATCTATCTATCTATCTATCTATCTATCTATCTAACTAATCTTTTTATCCGTCTGTCTGTATGTCTACCAATCCATCATCCATCCATCCATCCATATATCTATTGATCCATACATATATCAATATGTCTGTCTGTCTGTCTGTCTGTCTGTCTGTCTGTCTGTCTGTCTGTCTGTCTGTCTGTCTGTCTGTCTGTCTGTCTGTCTGTCCGTCTGTCTGTCTGTCTGTCTGTCTGTCTGTCTGTCTGTCTGTCTGTCTGTCTGTCTGTCTGTCTGTCTGTCTGTCTAAAATATATATCTATAAATCTGCCGTTCGGTCTGTCTGTGTAAGTGTGTGTTTATGTATACAAGTATGTCTCTCCTCTCTGTTAGTCTGTTTTTCTTTCAGTCTGTCTGTCAGACAGATTGTCTGTCAGACAGCTTCGATATCAGACAGCGTGACACTCTTGACGTGTAAACAATTTATTGTTTCTCTCTCTCTCTCTCTCTCTCTCTCTCTCTCTCTCTCTCTCTCTCTCTCTCTCTCTCTCTCTCTCTCTCTCTCTCTCCTCGCACGTAACTTGCTGTATCGTTGTTGGGTTTGGAGAATTTGATTTCCCCCCGCGTATCTTGTCTCTCAGCTTATAGAGATTCATTTCGCAGATTTGTATTCTATTTTCAGACAACGGTTTGGCTGTTGATTAAAGCGCCTGTGCGTGTTGTTCAGATGGCTGGGTTGTGAGACGGAGGCAGTAAATATAACTGACAATCTGACTGCTATATGTATAGTGGAGCATAGGAGCAAGATATAGCTGTGTGCGAGCAGATTAGGAGAGTGCGACTGATATATCATCACTAATCAAATGCTGATTTGTCTATGAATGTGTCGTCATCAGATCATGTTATGGCATCAGCAGCAATTCAGAAAAGACAAACCAGAAAAGACACTGAAGCAAATCACCAGATGGATGCGGCTTTAGCTCCCTGTCCACATTGCTCAAGAACATTCAGTGCTAGAGTTGTCCCTTCAGCTATCAGCGCACTCACACTCTTATGCAATCACCACTGGTTGAATGGACTGGTCAGACAACAACAATATGGCATCACATGTCCAGTCAGGCTCGTGGATGATTATTTAAAAATTAAACCGTCTCACAAGAGACACGGACAATCAACACCGAGGAACATCTCCCGGGCAGAAATTAAAAACATGGACTTATTTCACAAATAGAGCAAAGGATGCTAAACTAACAAAAGGAGAAGCCACAACAGAACCAAAACAGGACCCAAACATACACGGACAGACCGTACATTTATAAAGTGAGTCTAAGCCATTAATCCAGCCACACGAATCTCAGCTAATAAACCTGGCACAAATAAACAAGACAATACATACAACCGAACGCTGTCATCAGCAAAAGCTGTTTGCAACAGGTTGCACATTGTCGATATTTATTTGTCTTTATTTCTTTATGTTCGTACAATCAGAACTCGATTCCTCTGTTATGTTCCATCCTGTGATATCGTTTTGCTATCATATATAAAACCACTTGAGATAGATCTGTCACCTCTTATCAATGTATGTCCCATACTTTCTTTTGCACGTTCCTTATTCGTCAGTCAATATGTCTCTCATTTAAGTTCAAGGCTTGTCATTACTTCCAAGCTCCTAATTCATCGTGGGGCTACAATAGTGTCTTCTTTGTTTGATAATTGTGCTGGATATATGTTGCTGACCCAGTTATCTGAAGTTATTTTTTAAATGGACAGAGTTCAAGAAAGGGCAAACAAACCAGAGAGACTCGAGACAATCACTGGGGTCAATTGTTTAAAGAGAAAGAATATGGAGACATTCCATGGCTAACCAGGTTCATACGCAGACGTTATGTCGTTGCAGACAAAAAGAACATATTATCTCATGAAGCTAAGAATTGTATATAAACACACGCATACACATACATGCATTATATATATATATATATATTCACACACATATACATTCAAACATTAAATTTATTAGTGTCTCACATCTCAAGCCATATGGACCTATTTTGCCCACGTCTCTGTTACCATCATCATCCAGTGCCTTACGACTGACGTAGGCGATAACGCCTCTGGCCAGCCGTGAATTTAGCACGCAACATATATATCACCCATGTGCTACCGCGACCCTCACGGGAAGCAAAGCGCATTCCCAGTCATGTCGTAAGATGCAACCATGTCTAAGTTTGGGCTTGGGGTTGGCTACCTTATCCTGTAAAACCAATGGCCACCAAAACCAGCAAACCACGTTTAAGTCAAAAAGAGAAACACGACAATACAGCCAGCCAAGATTACGGGTGGCTCTACTAGCAGAAGTATGACACGGAGCGGAAAGTATGACAAGGTGCGGGAAGTATGACAAGGTGCGATAAGTAGGTCAAGGTGCGATAAGTATGACAAGGTGCGGGAAGTATGACAAGGTGCGGGGAGTATGGCAAGGTGCGGGGAGTATGGCAAGGTGCGGGGAGTATGGCAAGGTGCGAAACGTATGTCGAGGGGCGGGAAGTATGACAAGGTGCGGGGAGTATGGCAAGGTGCGGGGAGTATGGCAAGGTGCGAAACGTATGTCGAGGGGCGGGAAGTATGACAAGGTGGGAAAAGTATGACAAGGTGCGGGAAGTATTGACAAGGTGCGGGAAGTATAACAAGGTGCGGGGAGTATGACAAGGTGCGGGAAGTATGACAAGGTGCGGACGAAGTCGACAGGAGCCCGTATTGTACTTCTTCCCATCTAGGATAGTCTCGTGAATCGGTACCTGGAATATGACAACTTTGCATTAACCGAGCTGGGAAGTAAGGGTATAAAGATGGGGATTACATGAGGTGTTCTACATGCAATACTCATGATAGAACGGCTTGGCGTCAGTTAGTTGAGGGCCTACGCTCCTTTGGGGGGATGGTGTTTAAAAGGCAGAATCCCTTCACACACACACACACACACACACACACATATATATATATATATATATATAAATGTATACACACATATATATAAGAAGGAAGTTTATGTCTTGCCTTGGCTAATTATTTGATATTATCTGTCGATACAGGCATACGCATGGGTGTCCATCATCTTCGTCTTCATTTCCATATTCTCTTTCTGCGCGGAGACACATCCAACATTCAAGGTCAAAGCCAAGGACGTGACCCAGTTTGCAAGATTCTACGACTTCCTCAGCCTAGAATCCATCGACTGGTCCAAGTTGATGCCCCAGAAGAATCAAACCTCACAACCACACACAAACATCACACAAACCTCAAAACCACACACAAACATCACACAAACCTCACAACCACACACAAACATCACACACAGCTCGGAGCCCACAAATATTCCTACCCTCGACTTCGGTCTCAGTAATAAGACCAATTTTAGTTCTCGGAAAATTGCCAAGAGATCCGCAGGCATACACGACTACATCCTCAACTGCAATGCCCGATCAGCTTTTCTTAACATTGAAGAAAAGAAAAACAACACAGACTTGGGCGAAAAGGATTTGCCTCATCCAGCTCTTCTTTTGTTGGATCTCATCTGCCTTACATTCTTCACCATGGAGTATCTCACCCGATTTATGTGCTCTCCCAGTAAAACTTTTTTTGTCCGTGCGCTTCAAAATATTGTGGACTTCCTGGCGTTTGCTCCGGATTATGTTGAGTTAGTGTTTTTAATTTCCGATCATCATCAGACCGAAGGGGTAGCCATAATGGAAATGCTATTTATTCTAAGAATTTTGAGACTGTGTCGAATTTTCCGACTGATTCGGCACGTCCCCGGTCTGTGGATTCTCCTGTACACACTTCGGGCAAGTTTTAACGAGTTAATGCTCATGTGTGTCTTCCTTCTCATAGGAATGGTCGTCTTTGCAACCTTGGTCCACTTCGTGGAGCCAGATGGAATTTTCAACAACATTCCAGTGGGATTTTGGTGGAGCGTCGTTACTATGACAACAGTTGGGTACGGTGATATGTATCCTCAGTCACCCGCGGGATTTTTTATCGGTTCTTGCTGTGCTGTTGCGGGGCTGCTGATGATAGCATTCACCGTTCCTATAATCGTCAGCAACTTTGTGCTGTACTATACTCACGTACAGTATGGGACTTGCAACGGCGAGACAGGGGAATTAGAAAGACGCCGAGAATGAGGACGAGTCCGAATTTTTCAACAGTCGAGGCCGCATGGATATAGACAGGATGGAATCGATAGCCTTCCCTGATGGTTGGGACTGAACGA